ACTTTTACCAGAACTCAGACTTTACCCAACAATGACAAGGTAAGAAAAGTATGAAAATACTTTATTTGTATTAATCTATTCCCGAGAGCTAATGCTGCAAGCATGCACCTCCTTGTTTTAATTTGGTGTATTATTAAATGAAATTACTTTGTGAGAACTTCCCACAATGTTCAGTGCTACAGGAGCCTGATGCCAGTATTTGAAGTTCATAAGCCTCTTACACTATATAGAAAGTGTTTGTAGCTGTCCATGGTTCTGAAATAAGCCCCACGGTGTGGGGTCTATGGAGTGAATTGCGGAATTAATATCTAATGGAAAAAGAGTAGTGTCATATCTTGCCACATATATTTAGATTTTACGAAAATATTCGTATTTATGCATGACAGATGTTAAAAAAATCCTAATAACTAGGGGAGTTATTTCAATAGCTTCCTTCATTACCTTAATTTCCTTTCCTTGTGTTCCTATAAACAAATGTGGAACATTGCAAGTTGTATTTGCAATCAACATCTTCAGCTCTCTTTGTAACTTCAGTGTGTTGTAATGTTTTATTCCAAATATATATTCATGTACTTAATTGGTTTAGCTTTCTAGCCGGGCTATCAGTTATCAGGCGAATGTCTATTTGTATAGATAAACAAATAAAAAGTCAGAAAGAGAGAAAAGGAAAATGATAAAGACTGAATTATGTTGAGATGTATAATCATTATCATTTGAAATAGTTACAACTACATTTGTTTCGACGAAATTGCTCCGTTTAAACAGTTCGTTAGTCATTCCATTATTGCTGTAAAAGGTTGAATGTAGTTATTTCATACCAACACATGGAGTCACTGTAGACCATGACATCTGTGCGTCATTTCAGGAGGCATATGACTCCTCCCAGAAACAGGATGATGATGTTATTCTGGGCTTTGTTACAAAGAGACGCAGGGCGAGAGAGAAACGAGTGAAAAGCATTTCCAAGCTGCCTGGTACAAATGCGAGAAACTGGAATGTGTACTTTACTGTCATTGTGATTTTTTTTTGACGGAATTGGTTGGACTGGCATTCATGTCTTTTTCGGGTTGGATGTAATTATGTATTTCTCAAGCAAAACGAACCTTTTTCGGATATATCTTGTGGCGGTGCTGCTGAATTATTGCTGGGAAGCGGTGTCTGGACAGCTCTCGTATTCCGTATCAGAGGAGGTAAACCCGGGGACGTCTGTTGGAAATATCGCCAAGGATCTAAATCTCAACGTGCAGGATTTAGAATCTCGTATGTTTCAGATTGTTGCTGGTTCAAAGAGAAAATATTTCGATGTCAATGTGAAAACTGGTGTTCTTTATGTGAATGAAAGAATCGACCGAGAAGAGCTTTGTGCGAAGGCGACAAAATGTACAGTCAATGTAGAGGCCGTGATCAATGACCCGCTGAAGCTTTACCGTTTAGAGATAACTATAACGGATATGAATGACAATGCACCCGTATTCTCTGAGCAATTGCAGTCAATTAACATTGCAGAAAGTACTTTACCGGGAGTGAAATTTGGATTAATAGAGGCATCGGATTTGGATGTTGGAAAGAACGATGTTAATACATACAAGCTTAGTAGTAATGATTATTTTTCTTTGGAAATTCACAAAGGGGGAGATGGCGTGTCTGCAGAGTTAGTGCTGAAGAAATCCTTAGACCGAGAGCACGGCTCTGTGATAAAACTCACACTAACTGCCCTGGATGGAGGAAATCCAAGCCGATCGGGAACCTCACAAATCATCATCACCGTGTTGGATTCTAACGACAACCATCCGGTTTTCAGTAAATCTTTGTACAAAGTTCAAGTTTTTGAGAACCTGCCAACAGGATCTAATGTGATCATTCTTAATGCAACAGACGCAGATGAGGGTTTAAACAGCGAAATAGAATACTCTTTGAGAAAAAAAGGTCAGGACCGTGTTTTAGATTTATTTCAAATTGATTCCAAATCAGGTGCGATTTTAGTTAGAGGTCTGATTGACTATGAAGAAAATCAAGCTTTTGAGATTCATGCACACGC